GGGTCTCTCCCTCGGCCGGTCTCTTGCCTGGTCCCGCCTCCGTGCACTCTGTTGAATCTGCCGCCACGCTGACTCCGCCGTCCCGGCCAGCCAGATCCAATCCTTCACCGTGGTCATCCCGGCCCAGTGCCCATTCCAAGATCTCTGGATTGAGCCCCATCTTAAAGTACTTCACCTTTAGGAACTCCAGCCAGTCCATGAGTTTCTCCACCAGCCTCCGGAACTATAAGACATACTCGGACACAGACTTATCCTGCTGCTTGAATTGCAGGATGTTGTCCTCGGCTCGCTTGGCACTCAATGTGTCCTCAAACCTGTCCCGGAGCACCTGCATGAAGTCCGGGAAACTCCTCAGTTCCGCCACATTGGCGTTGTACAGTCTGATCACCCAGCTAGCTGCTTGGCCCTCCAGCAGCTCAGCCACGTAGGAGACTCTGTCCTCGTCCCTAGCGAACAGGTGACCCCCCTCTGCATGAAACCCTGGACGTGCATTAGGAAATGAGGCAGCTGTTCGGGGTTCCTCGAGAACTTCCCGGTTATGCCCCGCAGCCTAAAGGTGTCTGCTGTCCATTGGTCCACCGACCGGGGCACTGGTGGCGGTGCCAGTTGGGGTACCGGACTGCCACCCCTGTTGCTCGCGCCATCGCTCGCCACCGGTGGCACCGCTCCCAGCAGCAGGGTTTGCAGCATCGCCTGCATAGAGTCTAGGCGCTACTCGATCCTCTCCTCCAACCGGGCGAACTTCTCGTCCCATTCGCGGTTCCGAGCTCCCGAGCCTCGGGTCATCATGACCCCTGAGCTGTCTGGCCCCTGGTTCATGCACATCGACCACCACTCCGGCGGTGGTTCTCCGGCCCTGGCCGCCATCCCGCCGCTCCAGGGTACCTCCGCCATCGCCTCCGTGAGTCCTGGTTCCTTGTCCTCCAACTAACCAATGGATTCCTCATCGCTGGCCATGCCTGTGATTGAAAAGAGAAGCGCTCCTCGGTGGTACCGGGACAGGCGTGTCTCCTACTGCAACTGCTGAAGAATCCACCCACCGTATCTTCAGTGCTCCATGTGTGATCCCCAACTGAACCAGGTGTCTAGCCCTGTTAGGATGTAGGATTGGGTTCTCATTTGGAAGGTAAACAGGGTCAAACCTGATTAATACTTGGATGGGAAGAAATCCCAGGTCTATGGGCTAGATTGGAAATGGGAAAGTATCTGAGAAAAGAGCAGTGCTAGCCAAAAAATAAAAATGTGTAGAAGCCTCCATGACGTCACCAGGAGTTGACGAAATCTTCATTTTCAGTATTTACGTAACAATCAGATTCAGGGAAGAGAAAAAGTATTTTGGATCATTCTAGAGATCAGAATCTGTGCTAAGTGGTTCAAGTACAAGAAAAGCTAAGGATTGGAAAACTTCTTCCCTTCGGAAGGTGGAAGTGAGGGCCGTTGGAGCAGGAGATGTCTTGCACCCAGTCAGCTGGACTAGATGACCTTTGCGTTCCCTTCTAGCTCTGGAATCCTTGGATTTCCCAGCTTGCTGTCCAATATGACCTGATGTATTTTCTGATTGTTTTCCAGCTGGAGAGGCACCTACCATTTTATTTCCTTCT